GTTTGTGCAAATCTTGACCCTATGTTTTTTTATAGATTCCTTTGCGGATGAACCCATTGAGCTGAAACCTTGAAAACATATGTTTTCGGCCTCGGTGGATGGTTTTAAGCTACCCTTCGAAACAACTCGTAGAATTTCTCTATCGATTTAATGATTCTCGGCACCTTGCAAGGAAAGTGAACACTTACCAGCCAGTAACAAACTGCTTGCACATTTTGGTGTGAATAATGCAGTGAAATTCATTTCCACTTCAAAATTAGAAGGTGCAGTCACTTCAATAAGCCTTTCTGGAATAAGCTCGTGCAGGAGAGTAAGGGAGAGGGCTGCAGTGCAGTATTGATACTGCAGGAAAGGGGTGGAGAATATGGCCCAAAAGGACGGGAAGGTAGAAGGACAAAGTGTAGTTTTTGGCCATCCCCTCAAACGATGACCCGGGCTGGACGAGGAAAGCCAGGTAGTACTACTATAATAAGCGCTGAGGCCGCCCATCTTATTATTTGTGTATATCTGTTTGTCAGGGACTTACGGGGGTCAAAAATAGGGTCAAAGGGGAAGTCGTAAGAAATTTTGGCTTCAAAGGGGATATCGTTTTCAAAATTTTGAAATGCCACCTCCTGCCGGGCCCTGTTTGTTTATTTTAACTTGCATTCAAATCGCGCGTATGATATGTATAAGCATTCAAGCCATTCTTTTTTATCTTTGCAAACGAAATCCATCCTGCCTCCAAGACTTCCGCGTTGGTCCTGCTTATATTTATCACTTCTCGTTGTGTCTCGATTGCTGTGGTTAACAGAAAGCTGAAATACCTCTATCCCTTAATGGACTGGACTATAAGGTAATTTCTTTGTGCGAGTAACGGGACACATATGAGCTCGTTGGTCATCAAAGGCAGCGTCCCGACAAATAAAATGGGAATTTCACAGCATTGCAAGGGCAGACTCCTCGACTGATGCGCAGTGAAGTCTGAAGCTAAAAAGCGAGTCTGAAAAAAATGAAATTCACACTGAAAGTAATCCAAAAACCTTCACCTCATTCCGCACTTCCTTACTTGCATGTTTTCCAGCGAATGCAGACAATGAAAGCTTTAAAAAGCTCTTTTTTGCCTTTTTTAAGTGCTTGCAAAGATTCTATCAAGATTTTCGCAAGCATGACAGCATTATGAAATTTCAGTATTACTCCAGAATTCAAGCATAGAAAAAAGCGAAAAGCACTCCAAAAAGGCAAGCATAATTGAAATAGGTGCATTTCTTAAGAACAGCTGCGATGTATTAGGTTGTTGCATAAATTCTGTCCGATTTTTTTTGCTTTATGTTTGAGGCAGCTGTTCTAAGAGAATTTCATCTCTAATGCGGTATTGTTAGTATCGTTAGGAAGTGCCTTTCTTGCTCTTTCTAACGCATATCAAATTTCAATATCTCTTAGTGTAAGGAGATTTCAGGCCTAAAATCTCCGAGTGGCCGAGGTACGTTCTCACTCTAGAAATATGTTTTTGCGAGGAAATCTCCACAATGCGCCCTTCAGGTCAAGTTTTTTAATTGGTAGCGGAATAAGGGTGTAATGGGCTAGCATACGCATAAGTTCAGTTTCATAAAGAAGACGTCTTGCTAGTAAAATTAATTGTCAAACATTAATTTTCTGTATAGATGTTTTACAAGCTATAACTTTCTGCGAATAGAAGTAATCGACGACTTTAAAGTTGGAGGTGCTAGCGTAAAGCAAGGGCTAGCAGAGACCATCCACCAATTTTTTTGGCGCTCACGGCAACTGTAAATTCGTAATTTGTAAATCATGCACACATGCGCTGAAGCGAGGTCAAAAAGGTGGCCGATTTTTTGCTCGGTCAAAAAATCTCTCGGCAACGCAAACCCTACGGGCTCTTTTATGGTGCAAAATAATCTACAAAAATTCTCTATTTATCCATTGTTAGACAAGATGCCTATCAATTCTCATAAGTGAGCACTGCCATGTCAAATAAGAAAGGTTTGAAGAAAAACGCTGTAAAGTTTTTGAGTTCTTGTTTCGTTCTTAACACGGTCTGCCAGGAAATTGCTCAATAAATAGGAACCAAGATCTTGGAAAAAAGCTGACTTTGAGAAAAGTTATGGCATTTTGAAGTCAAAAATTTCAAATCGGACACAACTTATGCAACAACCTAATCCTTCTTATATATAAACTGGAAACATCCGGCGAGACGACGAAAACTACACATGGATCACCTACCCCGGCCACCCCCCTTCAGCGTTGCGGAGGGCGAGTTGTTGACAGTGTGAGCGCGCGAGACATCACACCCTCTCGCAGAGGTTACAGACAATGAGATTTTTAGAGGCGCGGTGTACTCCGAACCCCAGACAAGTTAGAGAGGAGAGGGTTGTCTCGACATGTGACTATTGATCGCACCCTACACCGCATGCCATGACGGCACGTGTTTCGACTGCCTGCGATGACGAATTGTGATGAAATACCGTATGCTCGGTTTGATCACAACTTCACAGCTGTAGCAATCTCTACTGTTTACATGCACGTTTCCTCTTCTTTTCATGTCCTTACTTACGATCGACCTTCATTCTAAAGATTCCTGCCCCCCTTGCCATTTTGCATAATAGTTTGATATGAAATCTGAGCATTGCAACTCTCCTTAGAATAGTCGTCACAACTCAGAATTTTGTGAAATATTGACGAAACTCACAATCCGAAGAGCAATCGAACAGCAAAAAAATTGCATTGATAGCAGGCTGTCCTTGTGGCTGATTAGTTTTTGGATTGAAAAATATTGTTCTCCCCACAATTTCCATGAAAAACGGTGAAAACCTCAATTTCGACAGAATTTTCGCACAGAAAATGCCTTTGCTTTCGGAGAGAAGACCCAACATGCAAACTGTGGTCTCGCTGGTTGAGCTTCGGCAAGCTTTCTTTGTGGCTGATCGGTTTTTGGATTGAAAAATATTGCTTTTCCCCACAATTTCCATGGAAAACGGTGAAAACCTCAATTTCGACAGGATTTTCGCACAGAAAATGCCTTTGCTTTCGGAGAGAAGACCCAACATGCAAGCTGTAGTCTCGCTGGTTGAGCTTCTGCAAGCCTTCTTTGTGGCTGATCAGTTTTTGGATTGAAAAATATTGCTTTTCCCCACAATTTCCATGGAAAACGGTGAAAACCTCAATTTCGACAGGATTTTCGCACAGAAAATGCCTTTGCTCTCGGAGTGAACACCCAGTATGCAAGCTGTGGTTTCGCTGGTTGAGCTTCGGCAAGCTCTCTTTGTGGCTGATCAGTTTCTGGATTCAAAAATATTGTTTTCCCCCACAATTTCCTTGAAAAACGGTGAAAACCTTAATTTCGACAGAATTTTCGCACAGAAAATGCCTTTGCTCCCGGAGTGAACACCCAGTATGCAAGCTGTGGTCTCGCTGGTTGAGCTTCGGCAAGCTCTCTTTGTCGCTGGTCGGTTTTTGGATTCAAAAATATTGTTTTCCCCCACAATTTCCATGAAAAACGGTGAAAACCTCAATTTCGACAGAATTTTCGCACAGAAAATGCCTTTGCTCCCGGAGTGAACACCCAGTATGCAAGCTGTAGTCTCGCTGGTTGAGCTTCGGCAAGCTCTCTTTGTGGCTGATCAGTTTCTGGATTCAAAAATATTGTTTTCCCCCACAATTTCCTTGAAAAACGGTGAAAACCTTAATTTCGACAGAATTTTCGCACAGAAAATGCCTTTGCTCCCGGAGTGAACACCCAGTATGCAAGCTGTGGTCTCGCTGGTTGAGCTTCGGCAAGCTCTCTTTGTCGCTGGTCGGTTTTTGGATTCAAAAATATTGTTTTCCCCCACAATTTCCATGAAAAACGGTGAAAACCTCAATTTCGACATAATTTTCGCACAGAAAATGCCTTTGCTCCCGGAGTGAAGACCCAGCATGCAAGCTGTGGTTTCGCTGGTTGAGCTTCGGCAAGCTCTCTTTGTCGCTGTTCAGTTTTTGGATTCAAAAATATTGTTTTCCCCCACAATTTCCATGGAAAACGGTGAAAACCTCAATTTCGACAGGATTTTCGCACAGAAAATGCCTTTGCTCCCGGAGTGAACACCCAGCATGCAAGATGTGGTTTCGATGGTTGAGCTTCGGCAAGCTCTCTTTGTCGCTGGTCAGTTTTTGGATTCAAAAATATTGTTTTCCCCCACAATTTCCATGAAAAACGGTGAAAACCTCAATTTCGACAGAATTTTCGAACAGAAAATGCCTTTGCTCACGTAACGAAGACCCAGCATGCATCTGCATTGGTGTCTTTTAGGAGAGCCATTATGTTGGTTTTAACCAAGCAAAAAAAGTCAATCTGTATTATATAACTGGATTCTGGTGGGTGGTGGTATTTGGTAGGAAGGATCAGATATTTTTTTTGTGTCTACCTGCGAAGTTTGATTTTGCACTTATTTAGTTTTCTAGAGAGGAGATGTGAACACCGTTTATAGCTGGATGCAGTCCCAACTAAACAAATACTAATGTATCTGCCCCGACCCACTTACAGCGGCCCGTAGGGCCGCTAGTATAATATATAAGGCAGTAAAAATTCAAATGAACTTCTTACAAGGAAACGACCCCAACTTAAGGTGGCGAATTGGAATAAACCGCATACCAATAGATGCGTCTTGATGAGCTGATTCCAATTCTACCTTCCTTATCTGCGACAACATTGCCTGGAAGAGGTTATGAAAGGTTAAAAATGTGAAGTAACGGGGGTTTTGATGCATAATTTGCTTTGAAATCCAGCTTGGAAGTGCACGACTAGCATCATATCAAGTGTATTGATTTCATGGAATGCTCACAATCAAAAGAAATGCAAATAAATGCTTTTGAACAGCTAAAAAGCAACTAATGTTCTTTGGTAAAAGCTATGAGCAATGAAAAGTCCAAATTTGGCAAATATACAGCGCAATACCTCTCTTAACGGTGATAGAATCTAAAAAGAATTTGCTCAGGGTGTGACTTCAATAAAAGAAAAATCTTAGGCCAATCAAAAATGGAGAAATCATTTATGAACCACTGTGGACTACAACCACTAACTCTGCAACAACTGCAACCACCAACTCTGCAATAACTACAACCACTAGCTTTACAATAACGACTACAACCACGATGACGACAACGACAACCAAAAAGCCAAAACTCTCGACTACGCCTTGTCCAACAGCTCCTACTATGAGAAAAGTACCAAGAACCACGACTCCTTGTCCTACACTACCTACGAGCGCTACAGCTAAAAGAAAAGCTAGAGAAGTCAATTTGATAAAGGAAAAAGCGCTTTTTCCTGAAGCTGAACTAGGTATGTTCAATGTGATCAACAATTATCTTTTGTTGATGTGATTAAAAAAATTGAAGATCAATGCATTATCGGATAAGACCGCTTTGTTTTTTCAGCGTTGACTATATTGCATTGAGTTGAGAAACGACATGGACTTTCTAACTTTTCGTAACAGCGCAATACCTTTTGTGTTACAGAAGACAAAGAAATGTGTCCTGACAGTTTCATGACAAACAGGCTAAGGATACGCTTTCTTGAAATGCACAATTATCGCAGGTAGCTTGTTCACAATAGTTATGTGCAGCAAAATAGCTTATTGGCCTGCCTTTAGGGCATTGGTTGCACTTGGGAAGATAAGGTTCAAGGGAAAGTCTCTACCGCAAGCTCAGAACATGCAAAAATTGGTGGGACTAGCATCAGCTTACAAAAATAGAAATCATGATCTTGTAGAGATACGATTGCAAGCTAGAAGAAGTCGCAGCGCATTACGCTAGCCAATGTCCAGAGAGAAGTTTTCGTGAAAGTTCCACCAAAGAAATTGGCGAAAATTTTCTAAGAATTGGAGACAATGTTGGAGGCTTTGAGGAAGCAGTTAACGCGGTATGTAATCCCAAAAAATAGGAAAATTCTTCAAGTCTCTCAAACACAGACTGTCAGCATATGGTGGGCAGGTGCTAGAAGATTTGGTGCGATCGATCCTTCGATGCTGCTAAAATCCCGTAATTTTGGCCCTCGCATACTCTCCCTTACCCAGGTAGGACACAACTAACATTTGGAAATTGAAAAATGCTGTTAAGTCGATACAAATACGTAAGCCTTCTGTCACCACTTTTAGATGGCTTGGGCAACGACTCGATACATCGGCTGCTCTATCGTGAAGTGTTCGTCCTCATATGTATCAGTTTGCAGGTATCAACCAAGGTACGTCGTTCCGATACTCTTGATTTAGAGGGTTTTAAACAGTCCAACAAGGAAAGTAACTTTTCGTTCAAATTCGCGAACCTGTCGTACTATCGTACATAGCTAGCTTCTTACATAGGAAGCAAAATTTGCAGTGGCCATTTTTGGTACTAGGTGTTTCAAAAGTATGTACCACCACTTAAAAATTCGACAGCACCAAAGAAATAGTTTTCAAAATTTTGAGCAGCAAGCTTTAGAAGTTCGGGGGTTTAGTATGAATAACGAGACTTGACCATCTTAAAAAGCAAGGGTAGCAGATTTTGGCAGTTTGCCAAGAGTTGACTTGCTGCAATGAGTTTATGACCATTAGAAAGAAGATAGAATCCTGCATCGAATGCTCCCAACTCTCTTGTAAATCTTTGTTCTCCCAAATGTGGCCCTCTTTAAAAAAAGCGACATTGCTTTTGGAAGGACCTAACAATGTAAATAATTAAAGTAATTCTTGATAAGTAGTCATGTAAAATATAGTTTTGGGGGTCTGGCTACCGCCATCTCCTTGTTGAAATGTCGGACTGGTGGTCTGGAAAATTTGAGAAATGTCGTTGAAAATCTATGGAGGGCCATGCGAAAAATTTCTGCCGACCTCGCCCCCAATCGGATTCCTGAGGGTCACCGGTGAAAACGTACAAGTCAACGGGATGCGGACGGGTGATGTTCGACCCGATAAGTTTCCAGGTTAGATAAACTCGCAAGACTTGTCGCCAGTGAAGAAGACTCCGCATTGTTGTGACACTGGTTTTTGTATCCATTCTTTGTTATATCTTCTACTGTAGAGATTAGTGGTTGTATAGTGCATTAACGCCGCCAACTTTACTTGCACATAAAAAGAATTTGTCTTTGAAACTTGTCACTGTGGCCGTCAGAAATCGAACGAGTGTCACTGCTGTCTTATAACCAAGTAAATTTCATAAAATTCCGCAATTTGCATTGTGAGGTAAATTGGCTTGCTGAGATCGTTGCCAGGCTTCTTGGTCTGAAAGATATGAACCACAAGTCACGACCAGTATAGAGCAAGAAGTGTTTTACAAAACCTCCGGGCACGACCCCCCTCTTCCCTTCTCCCCCACCAGTCCCTGTCTCAATCCCCTTCTCCAGTTTTTGTCCCACCCCTCCTCCCACCATTGTCACTTTTCTGACTTAAGCATAACATTGAAGCTCTATCAAACATAATTAGTAACACGTTTGCAATTAGCATGTCGAATAGGGGGGGGGGGTTCCTATGGGCCAAGATTTAGCGAATTTTGAGGGTTCCCGATATTGAGTCACTCAAGTGAATTGGTCATTTTCAAACACAGTTGACTTCATTTCAAAAGTAATTAGCTATCCTTTACTGCACTTAATACGAATACTCCTTCTTCGACCACATGAAAAATCCCAATTCAAGTAATTTTCACTTTGGACTTGGAAGCCATCCAAACTTTCATTTATTCAATTTTGCGCAGGCAGCCTTTCTGCTTGCAACTTCTACAAGATCGAAGAAGATGAATCAGGCTCAATTCAGTCACGTGAGAACTACGAGCCTTTGCTATTGAACTGTTATGTTAACAGAGGCCAAAATTCTCGCTGGAGATAAGCTAGTGGAGTGCGACACAACTTCGCGGTGTCCCCGCAAAATTCCAAAGCATGGAAGCAGGGAATTCACCTTTGAAGCAAAGCTAATCGTATTTGAAAATGATCATTTTACCGTTGCTGTCCTAATATCTGGAAACCTAAGAGCTTGCAAAAACTTGATTTACACGATTGCTTGGCATGCTGATTACGAAAATGATGCCCTTTTGCTTTGTAATGCTTACTACGTATACGATAGTATGTCAAGTCTCAGTGCGCTTGTATTCTGCATAATGGGTTGTCTGACATTTCTCTCGAAAACGTTATTGCTTACATCATTATCACCTCGACAACGACACCCTCACCCCCGTAATCCCTCGATACGACTCCCCAGGTGTGGCGTGCCACACCCACGCTCAACCCTGGTCATGACCTGGACGAGTTTTCGCTACGCTATTTTCGCCATCCCTTGGGAGAGGCAGCTTCAGCCAGCACTCCTATAATATTACTGGCATCGAGGCGTGTATCTGCGCCCCATCCACCTATTCGTGCAGTGTCACTTTAGCACCGATGACTTTTGGAGGAAAACAAAATTTTAGCAAGGCCTGAACGGCATGCGCTGTGTGGCTCTTGACTCCCCAGCCGAATAGTCATGGCATAAATCCGTAATCTCCGTATTCACACATTCAACTTGAAATAAGGTCACATTTCAGTGATTAGCATGAATAGTATCCCTAGGTCAAGCTTCTTCCGAACCTACTATTGATGTTCCCGCGTCAGTTGCTTCAAAATATACTTAGTGTTACCTTTGAACACGATCACAAGATCTGCTAGAAAATGGCTGTGTTTCTAGCTACAAATTGAACTAGATGATATCAAAAATGAATGCGCAATGCTTAGAAGGAAAAAGGTTATGGAAAAAGCTGCAAGGCATGGTTGTCAACCTCTTCGTACAATACCGCTCACATTTTTTGGAAAATAGACGCGAATGTATGGACATGTATGGACATGTCCATACATGTACGGACATGTCCATACATGTCCATACATTCGCGTCTATTTTTCAAAAAATGTGGGCGGTATTGTATAAAGGGGGAGACGGTCAAGAGGCGCGATTTTTTCAGATGTCACCAACTTCAAACTCTAGTTTAGTGCTATGCTATAAAGGTAACTTGCCCAGAACTTGGAATTCCAACATATCAAACGAATGAGTATGTTTTGTATGTTTAGCTCCTATAAAAGTACTGTTGCACTATATTAACGTTTTTTCTACCAGGGTACTCGTGCCAAATGCGGCAAAACGATAAAGATTATGGCCCAAATGAATGTAAGGATTGGGTTTGAAAAAAAATTTCCAGTTGAAATTCTTCGACTCAAGAATGGACTGGTTAATTTTTGAAAGTTGTCTGCATGAAATGTAAAATTCTGCAGGTGACTTGCCACCAAAGGGTATACGATTTGACTTCTGCAAAATTCTCTTAATGCATGATTCAAAGGCGTTTTACTTTACAGCTGAAGAAACAAATAAGTGCGTGCGAGCTTTTATAATGACTTTTGAGGGCTAGAAAATCACCACTTTAGTATATTTATCTTCTCAGATTACTCTGGTACCAATATAAAATATCCAATGTTTGGGGAGCTTCCTTTGCCCAGGCACGGGTTGAAACTTTGATCCAACCTACATAGTCACAGCTGCACTTCGCACCACTCACAACCTCTTTTATCTTCGGATTACTTTTGAGTAATTGAAAGAAGTTATAAAAATGAAAATTAACTTTGTGAAAACCTTTCCAGGGTCAATTGCCGTCACTTCCTTTTTTAAGACCAGGGGTTATATGCGCGCTTAAATGTTGGGAAGCATCCCGCAGATGGTGCTAAACCATCGAGAGTAAACGTTTGACGCAAAGGCTCAGCAATAATCCACTTCAGATTAGGTTAGAGCTGACTATTACTATTCTGTGCGTCACCACTGCTTGTCAAAAGCTTAAACTGGCTCTGCTTACTATTTATTATATTATACCTTTCTCCACTGGCTTAGTGATAGTTCTAAAACAGACCTCGCGATGCACCAGCACGAATGATTGTAAGCAATAGTTTCAAAAGGTTTTCCATAAAAAAGGGATAAAGAAAGAGAATTTTCTGCAGAAAGATAATTCCAAATCTGAATCAATTATGAGATTTATCGCGGCTCGGTAGGTGCTAAAACGGAGAATGACGCGCCGTATACGCACAATTTATATTTTTTGATTACTTTTTGGGTCAAAGTCAAATGCCAAAGTATATATTGTCGTACAAAATCATGGCTTTGCATAACGGATCAGTACTGCCAGCTTGGAGCCATGTGGATCCGTTTGAAGCACATTTTTTGTAGGACCAAAGACTCGAATCCGCACGAAATTTTGCATAAAGGGCCTCCATGCCGATAAGATGCTATGACCAAACTTTCAGCTCAAAAAGTCTGCTGAACTAGCTCTATTAATTTGACAGAGAGAGATATCTAGACAGACAAACAGACGTAAAGAAAACCTAGCTCGTTATTATAAGTCACTAGCTGTCATCCCGGGTTCCAACCAGGCGTGGAGTTAGTCCATCCCGCATGACCCCTCATGTAGCACAACTGACTCTTCTTTCACCTCTGACCTGCCTTGGGTTCGCTCTCTACCGTCCTCACCACATCTTAACGACCGGGAATGAAAACTATACAGCTTGTCTAACTTGACTATGAGTAGATGCTCAGTCAAAACATGATAAGCTTCTCTTTTTTTATAGATGTTGTTAAGAACTCAATAAATCCTCAATAATTGAATTGAGAACCCAATATGCTTCAAAAGTAGTCCATGTGACCTACGATGTAGAAAATTTATTGAGCGGCAAACTTTGCGCAGTACAGAGCACATTAATCTGTGTTCATTACCACAAACCAGCGAAAAAAATATGAATTAAAAAACAAGAAAAGTTTTTTCCTGAGACGTCGTCTTTGCCAAATCACAACTCCCTTCAAAGTTTGTCAGTACCGTTGGTAAGTAGCCTACGCTGAGCCGCAAGCCAATAGTGCACATGAGGATGGAAAGGGCTCGAACAAAAAGGATTTGCGAAGAAAAATATCGAGTTTTAAAAATATCAATTTTCTCAACGTTCTTTCAGAAGGGGTGAAACTCCGGAAGTATGGGATTTTTCGATTTCCTGTAAACTGAACACCTTGGTAATTTTGCAAAAATTATCAGCAGAATGCCCTAGCAAAGCGATAGCGTTCATCAAAAGAAACCTTGTGGACCATAGAGGCCTAAATGGCTGAACCATGTTTAGGTTTCGATATTACAAACTAGGTATGATCAATAAATGCATTCAAGTGTGCATTATATAGGCAGTTTCCTTTGCATATAGTGGCTAAATTTTCAAAAGAGCACCATCATTTGCGTCTGAATTCTGGCCAAAAAAAGTGAATGTAAGAAATTTGGGTTTGAGTGCGGTTGTAAGAAGCGTTGTAAATTCTCAGCAGATTAGGCTAGAAGCACATTTCAGCCATCATTAGATAGAGCATAGAAAGGGTTTCTGATTCGTATGCTGAATGTTTTCAAAGAAAAAAGTTCGATGGGAAAAGCTGTTCTGAATTAAGGCCTAGAAAAACGTCCATTGATTTTGCAAGACCTAATTTCAGGTTGGCCGACAGTTCGTTCGCACAGTTTTCAAAAATTCCTAACTTCTGGTACTTCTGGCTGATTTATGTGTTTTCATTTTTATCTAGAAGAGCAATTCATTCTCCTCATAGCGGTGCCTTAGCGGCTTTCTATTGAGCATATACTGCATAGATATAAGCGGTAGAATAAAATTACTCAAATTTTGATTTTTCTGTGCAGGGTCATAAAAAATCTGGAACTTGCAGCGGAGCAGCCGGTATTATAGGTCTATCACCAGCCTTTCTAACTGTGCAACTATGAAAAGTTATGATTTTCGAGCAAGCGATACAAAAGGGGAATTTCATTTATTTCCCAGAAAATAACTTTTCACAGAGACGCTTAACTTGCACTAATTTTGCACAGTCAGAAAGAGCTGGTGATAGAAACCTATAACACCGACTGCTCCAATTTTACTCCAGATTTTTTATGATCCTACACAGAAAATGTAATTTTCTTCTACCGCTTCTATTTATGGAGTGTATGCTCAGTAGAAAGCCTTTCAGCCACCGCCTTGAAGAAAATGAATTACTCTTTTGACAGAAATGAAAACACGCAAATCGGTTGGAAAACCAGAAGTTAGGAATCTTTGTGCAAACTGTGCGAACGAGCTTTTAGGCTAACCTAACCCTGTGTGCAGACTTTCAGCTCAAGCGGTTCAGGCATTGTGCCATGTATAGGTTGACAAGGCATGTGCACAAAAAGACACAAGCATCTTCTGCTTTATATAGTTAGGAATGATGCCCAAGACGAACAACCCACTGTTGAACAGAAGCATAGTCCCTTCTTTATTATGTGTAATTTTTTGAACGAATTCTTTTAAGGGGGAATGTGATCAAAGAGCTCGTCTACAAGCCAGGCAACACCTGCACTGATTGCGCTACTGGAAGTAAGTGCATTGAAGAGCTGGGACTCTGTGACTGAAAGGAAGAAGAATGTTGATGTTTCCGTTTCCTATATTATCTCTCATCTTCACATTATATCTGAACAATGGCTTAGCACTTCGGCAAGGTCAATAAATATCAATACCAGATCTACAACTACTACAGATTTGGCAGCGTGCTCATAAATAGAATGAAAGATTCAGCTGCATTATGAATTTGCTATGCACATGCACTCCCGGTGGTAATATTGTAAAATGTTGCTGATTAGTAAAGTCAGAAATCTAGATTTTGTTAATAAAAAAACATGTCGCTTCAAAGAATTCACGGAGCAGCCAACTCAACTTTCAAAGGACTTTTCTAAATAGTCAATGGGTATTAGCGGGAACGCACTTGTCTCCAGGAAAATTTGGTGACTTTCTTGGTCAGCTTGTAAAATGAACCCGATTATCAACGAAACTTCTGCATTACTTGCAACTGTGCTCTCTTCACTGGACCACCTAATTCTGTATCCCAAAATCTTAACCGGAATGATAGATCCAGACTACTTCTGAAGGTCCATATATATCCATAATTATTTTACCAATCATTTGAGGATTGCTAGTATTTGCCATTATTCGCCATAGTTGAGTCAAAAAGCAAATATTTCAGCATAGGTTAAAGCTCTCTACTAATAGGTAGCTTCATAAGAGTATTGATAATGACAAAGATTCTGCTCACTTTTATTCTCTTGGTTAGCTATAAGTACAAGATAGTAAACCAAGCTTTACTATCTTGTAATTACAGCTTTATAAGAAGGCTCTCGAACAATCCTATGAAGTGTTATCCATCTAAAGATTCAAATATAATTTGATTTCTTAACGCATTAAAATCAAATCTACCCTCCCCTCCCCTCTAAAAAAATCCTACGAAACGTATTTGCTCACGCATCTCTGTATGAAACTGCCATATGTACAATTGCTGGATTTCTCCCACGTCCAAAAAGAAACAAGGTTGAGCAAAACTGCGAACAACCCAGAAAATGTTTTCTGATTCTTTTTGTGCAAAATTTGCTTCTTCTCAAGAAAGCTGGTAAAAGATTGGAATTTCATGCTCTTACTTATTAAGGTATGCACTACTATTTGGCAATGCGGGAACATACCGCATAGCTTTCATGGAAATGCCGTGGGGAGCGTTAATTACGAGAGCGACTGCTTCGCGAGGTACACGCGCAGTGAAGGGCTCAAGTCTATTTTCCTTAAGAGCATAAGGTGCGACTTGTACGTGTGAATAGGATATAATGGATCCACCTACGTAAGAATACCCACCCCAGCATAACTTCAGCGGAAACATGCAATTTTGCCTTTTCTCGATTGCTAACAAGGGAAGTACAGCACTTTAATGTTAGAAAATTATACGCTTAAGCAAGTTAGAAACGCGTACGATTTCTCTGGGTGAAGCTACAATTGTCTGTCATTTCAAAGCCTCTACATTTCGGTTTCAAACTTTATGCGACCCAACATGGAAAATGTCGGAAAATGAGCTCCATCTTGTAGACCTTGCTTTGCTTTATCAAACGGTACCTCTTCGAACAAAAATCAAAAGAAATGGCTTGTTGCGGAAAATAGTCAAATCTGTAAAGATCTATGGGACAGCCTAACTGATGAGTAGGTTCCAAATGTAAGATTTTTGCTAGTGTACTCAAAATTTAAGCTCTTTACCACCCTTGGTTCTTGTGAAATAGCAAATTTTGCGCAAAGAAACCCCCAAAACGACATTTTGAGGTTGTTCGTAAATTTTGCTTGATTAGCGAGTTTTGTGCAAAAAAAACCAGAAAAAATTTTTCTAGATCGCTCATAATTTTGGCTTGATTTTGTTTCTCGACTCCTAGTTATAGAAAAAATCCAGCAACTGTCCCTGTAATACGTATGAGTAGAGCATATGCGTGAAAAATTTAAAGATTTGTAGGATGTTCTTCGAAAGAGAATTGATTTTCAGCTCATATGAAAAATTTCAGAATTTTGCATCAAACATCACATGGATTACTTTGTGAATATTCGAAACCTATCTATAGAGCTCACTCACTCAAACAATCATGCCTGAGGTAACCTACATTGATTTCACACTTTAAAGGCACGGTCCACCCAAATTCTCGACTTCCATGTTTTTGTCGCTTCCGGGCCTTCTGAAGGCCCTGATTTCGAATATGAAGTCGAGAATCCCAAAAACCCCTATTTTGGAGAAAGCGGGACGGGTGGAAGTGCAGTTTGCAGGGCTGCGGCGCGGTTATCGCCCGGCGTATATCAGCGCCGCAGCCCCCAAAGCTGCAAAATGGGCGGAGTGACCACCTCTGGATCACGTATCACGTAACTTCCAGAGCGGATTTCTCGCTCCGGAAACAATCTTTTGCGGGGAAACTTGGGGGTTGGCCTAGTGTGGGGGCCCACATTAGCATGCCATTGAATCTCGTGAACCCTCACTTTGGGTGGACGGTGCCTTTAAATGCATATCTACAGAGATGATCGATCAAAGTTGCAAAAACAAAATGAGATTCCATAAGAAGTTAAGTCCCCCCCCCCTCCTCTTCACAGCTTAAAACAAGCTTTTGACTTACCATTAAAAGCTGCTCCCAACAAGTTAGTGATCACGGGCTTGATGTACTGCCAAATGTCTAGTGCAGAAAACTCGTCCATTTAGCGATAGGCGGGGCTAACGGTGCGCACCTTATTGACACACGCCTGCCTAAGCGCGCGCTATCGTTCATAAAGTCCGCCACCCCACTCTGCTGAGTAGTTATTAGCTTAACTTCAGAAATTAGAGGTATGCGGATCTTCAATTTGATAAGACTTATGGGATAATCTAATGGAATGACTTTAGCAAGGGTGGAGGAGGAGGAGGGGGAGAGGCATACCTTCGATAGTCTAGAGACAGGGCGCCAAAAGTGAAGGTTGTTTGAACATCTGACGTCATAAATAGTGAAGGTTGTTTGAAGAAGATCAGAGAAGAAAAAAAGACGTAAAATAGATATAAAAAGCAAGAGAAACTGCTGAAAACCAGATAAAAATGCTGCAATAAGGTTTGAAATCTTTCATTTGGCGGCTTTTTAAAGTGCAAGTTTTCGCTTCAAGACCAGCAATTCGCAACGCGGGGTTTTGATTTTTGATGCGTCCTTTGGATTTTTACCCTCGCGCCGTCCCTCTTGTACCCTGCGACGTTGTCTGGATTCTTCCGCTCATCATTCTGAGCAAGTATCGTCCAAGCTGGAGAAAATTCGTTGCGAAACCACTGAAAAAGAATAAGGTAAAGAAAAACGCATTTTTTGTAATTTTCACAAGAAAAAACCGGCATAAGCAGAGAAATAAGCTCGGCGACGTTGTCTACATTATAGACAGAAACAAGACCTATCGACTACACAAAAAAACTGCGTGAAAAGAGTCAAACTAGGAGAAAAACGAGAGATTTTCGAAAACAAGGTTTTTGCCGGATTTCTCGTTTAAATCATAAAAAGGAGTCTTGCGACGTTGTCAGCGTGAAAATAGAGATCAAGAGCTTCAAAATGATATATAGCTTGCTAAAATTGGGTTCGAAACAGCGAAGAAAAGGGTACCAGAGCCAAATGCCCCGCGCCCCGCGTTTGGGGTAGCGAGGTAGCGCGCAGCGCGCGGAGACGCAGACGAGCAGCGAAGACAGAGATAGACCAGCATTTATGTGGCGACTCTCTGCGCAAGATTTCAGCGCAGTTTCTCGTTTTTATTGAATTCCAGCGGCTTTCATGAACCTCCAACGCTCAATCGCAGTCTACAGAAAGGTTAATTGATAAGTTTCATCCTAATTTCTAACTGAATTTTTGAAGAAAAACCTTCTTTTCAGCAAAAAAGGCCATAAAAACGCGATCCTTCGGTTTTTTGAGCTTTTTCTGGATGTCACTACTATATTTGCCTCATTCACGTTCATCCTTACATAGTTAGTCATTAGTTATATCATAATATCCGAGCTTCGCCCCGGATGACTTCTGTATTCCTCCCCAGGTGAAGGTTGTGTCCTCTCATGACACTCAAAGTGAAGGTTACCAGAGTACGTGGCTCTATGTATCGAAGGTATGGGGAGAGGGAGGGGAGGATGAAGGATGCGATGTTATATGGAAATCGCGAATGAAAATCCGGAAAAGTCCATCAGAGTTGTGAGCATCATATAGGGGGTCCCTGTGCTTTAACATGGAGTAATGTTGACGAATGGGTTTAACACCGTGATTTAGGGTACAACTTTGTGAAGAAATTGCATGCTTTATCACTATGGTTCTGTGCATCTGTCAAAGCTCTATGGCCCTTAGAAAGTTTTGCAAATAAAGCCCTCGAAAAGTTGCCATTTTCGGGAACCTCGGAAGACTTATAGATGCTCGCAAGGACTGGAGGAGGGGAAGAGGGGTGGGGAGGGGCTTTCCGACGTGACGCACGGGGATTTTCAACGAAAACGCTCAATATCTCACGAGGATTGACGAATGTCAAGATAAATATGATAAAGCGGGAACTTCACGGTAATTACTGATGTTAAATAGATATTCAATATGCTGGGCCAGAATAAAAGCAAAACATATAAGATTTTTTTTCAAAAGTTCTTACGCGAATGGAGTATTTACGCTGTTTGCCTATCTCAGACAACTGGCCGGAACTTCGCAGCGCTTTCGCAGGGTTTCCGCAGGTGACCCGGCGGAAATCCTGCGAAAGCGCTGCGGAAACCCTGCAATCTCAGGGTGCAGGGTTTCCGCAGCGCTTTCGCAGGTTTCGCAGCACTTTGCGCTTTTAATTCGCGATCCGTTCCTTCCATATCGAACTTCCTTTTTGATACTAGATTTTCCTTTCCAATACTAGGTTTTCGCTTTTTACTAAGGCGTTATTCTTTTAATGTGGAAATTCCTCTCGACTTTCTAGATGCTAAGAAACGTAGACAGCGAAATAGTTTTAATGAGAAAGCAAATAGCACACTGTATTGTTTTATGCAGATACCATATAGAATCACAATAGGCCGAAGTTGATAAGTGCAAATTAACAGATCAATGAAGTGTTCATAAATCGATATACATAAAATCACAGAAGCATTCGAGTATATATGCATAACCGAATAAGGTTGAAGCAATGTTATACTGATGGAAGAGTAAAGAATTATGGAAGAATA